AAGGCTGAGGCAGGAGGGTCACCATGAGTTTGAAGCCAGCCTGGGGTACACAGTGAGTTCAAGGCCAGCCTGAACTACATAGCAAAAAGAGAAAAGAAAAAAGTCAGTCATGACCATCAGGTGTTTTATTTGCTTCAAGCACAGCTATATACAGGTGTTCTGTCTTTTGCTACCACAGTGACTCCCAGGCCCTATGCCGCCAGCACCACCACCACCACTTGCTCTTTGCTTTATCAGCATCATCAAGAAAGGAAGGAAGCAGAGAAGAACAGAGCAGGGTGGCCGCCGTGAGCCCAGCAGCAACATGGCTTCGTTTTCCTTTATTCTTTTCTCAACTGGCCTCTGTAGACAGTTTCCTGGTTTAATATCCACTGACTTTGCTTTAAATTTATTTATCCAGTTGTTCCAAACACTGTGCTACTGTGATGACATTTTATAACCGAATAGTTAGAAAAGGTCCCATAGTGGTCAAGGGAGAGAGTACTTAATTACAGAACGTGTGCGTGTGCAGCCCCATCCATCCAGGAATGCCTATACTTTTGATTTCAGATTTACATGTGTAGGTGAGTTGTAAAATAGTAGAGAATTCTTCTGTAATCTTTATCCAGCCTCATAGAATGGTATCATCTTTTTTTTTTAATTTACTTATTTTGGACAGAGTCTTACTCTGTAGTTCAGGCTGGCCTTGAACTCAGTGATCTTCCTGCCTCAGCCTCCTGAGTGCTGGGATTACACGCATGAACCACCATGCCCGACCACTTTCTTGATTTTTATTTTACTTGTTTGTTTATTGTAGTGTTGGAGATTGAACCCAAAGCCTTCAACCCTTAGCTACAACCTTGGCCCTTTTAAAAATTTTGGAACAATCTTGCTAATTTGGGTACCAATCTGGTAAACTGCACAAGCTGGGCTCAGACTTGCAAATCTCCTGCATCAATCAGCCTCCCAGAATGCTGGGATTACAAGTGTATGCCACCACAGCCAGCTCTAGGACTCTTTTTGACCCTAGCACATACCCCCTGTTGTCACTTGTGATACTGAATGGTCCACAGGCCACCTGATACACCCACTCACAGGTAACAGAGGTGTTTCATCAGGAGACTTCCTTTTCCCTCATCCCTGGCCTGGATCAACCAAGGAAAGCAGCAGGAGATTGGAGGGTGGGGTGTCCATCACACGTTCATGCCTCCCTGCAGAAACCACTACCGATGGCCTGAGCTTAGCCCCTGCTTGTTCTATTCCACTATTCAAGATTGGATCAAAAATGCAGTGATTATTTACTTTTTATTTAAAAATAATTCATTACAGTAGAAGACACAGTGCCATTAGTCCCCCTGGGATTACTCTTCCTCACTTCGAACCCACATATCCCACTGCTCTTGCCACTTCTGGAAGCAGTTCTGGAAGTCCTCTTTCCTCAGTCTTTAGTTTTTTTTTTTTGGTACCGGGGATCGAACTCAGGTCCTTGAGCTTGCGAGGCAGACCACCGAACCGATGAGCTAAATCCCCAGCCCTGTCTTTAGTTTTGAGGTTGAAACTGCCTCAATGTCCTGAGTCAAATCAAAGTACTTACCCTTCACATGGTCATTTTGACTTTGGAGAAGAGTCGGGGGTTGCACGGTGACAGATCAGGTGCATAAGGTGGATGAGGACACACACCAAGTTTTTATAGCCTGCCTGCTTGCTGGAGGGCACTAGGCAGCAATATTTGCTATATTTTCATCAGACCCAGTACAGATACTCCCAAAAGAAGATTTCCTGAGCTGTTTCAGAGTGGTGAGAAGGACGGGACAGGTGTTTCTGAAGCAAGGGGCAGGCAGTATGTCAGGGATACTCATAGCAATGTGCCTTAATGGTTTTTACACTGAAACACTCATCATGTAGTACAATCACCCTAGCACCATCCTCCCCTGTGCCCCTGGCCCCACCCCTGGCACCTGCAGTCCTAGGATTGGAGACAGCTCTCTACCTTCCTCAGCGCTAGGATCCTTTGCCATTGCTAGTTTTTTCCTTACCCACTTTATGAAATCCTGCCTAAACACCCAACTGACAATGCTACCTGATTTTCTACAGGGACCAAGATTTATAGTCGGAGCCAACAAACACTACCTCAAAATTGGCTTTCACTAGGGAAACATATCCTCCTACTTGCCCCCCTCCCATGCCTCCCACACAAAGTGGAAAAACATTTACATCACTGTTTGTTCCTAGAGAAAGTGCAAACCATGCCCCTCACTTGCAAGCTGAAGTTCACACCCCAAGAACTGCGGTGCATCTGCAACTCTGCCTTAGCATTCCAGGAAGCTCTTACGTTTCCAGTCATGGCCCAGCTAACAAGTTGCCATCTGTGTGTGACAATAACCGATGACCACCAATCGGACTTGAGCGGGCAGTTGTGCAGAGCTGCTCCACACAACCCTGTCACCCACCATCGCACGCCCTTTCTGGCCATTGAAGCGCTTCAGAAACTTATTTGAGTGCAGGAGGACTCTAGTAAGGGATTGAGATCACTACTCACATCTTGAAATTCTGAGGGAATAGAATGAAAATGAGCATCAGTGTAGGTAACCATTTTCCTTTTGGCGGGGAAGATGTGAGACAAAGCAAATTCAGTACCACACTGCACACAGTAGTCGCCAAGCTCAGAGTAGAATGGAAGAAGCCTCCAATGCCACACCAGTCTCCCACCTTGTTGTGCCTGGATCTGTTTCCTAATGGGATGATAGGGATGAAAACTCACAGCATCCATCCCAGCAAGAGGACCCAGGAGACTGAAGACCTAGGGTCCAGCACCAAAGGACAGGGACTAGGTATCTGCCACAAGGCCCAGTTCAAAGACAGAGAGTAAGGGAAGGAAACCCAGTCTCAGCCTGTGGACCCGTCATGGAGTAGCGCACCCTCCAGGCAGCCTGCAGCAGGACCACGGCAGGCCGAGGCCTCAACTGTAAAGCCTGAAGATAAAAGCTATCTTCTCTCACCCTCCCAGAACACACTTAGTGTCTCCTCTAGGGTTATAGAATCTTCTACATTTGCTCCAGGTGAAGTTTACACACTCGAGTTAAACTCTGAAAGTTTTTAACATTTCTACTCTGTACCACTGAAATAAAGCTTTCTTTGGAAGAAGAAAAGAATACATATTGTTACACAACACAATTTTTAAAAATTTAAGTGCTACCATTAAAAGTTAACTTTTTCTTTTGAAGTATTTTCCTAGTCTTGTAGGACAATCACTAATGACAGACCGAAAGTCAGCAATGATTGAGTCCGGTTCACTGGGGCAGAAGGAATCTGGCCACCCACAAGTGCTTATTTAAAAGAAACAGCCACAGTTCGCTGCCATGGTTCCTGAAACCAACACATAGTATATTTACTTCTACAATTTATTTCAGGTGACAGGACACACACAGACTAACAAAATAAACAAAAATAAATAGCATCCCCCAGCCCTGGTGGGAGATGTAACACCAGGCTTAATGCCTGTCAGTCTCTCTATGTGGTCTGTTTCTCTCTCCTACATCTTGCCTCCAATTGAAGAGCCATTTACAATAGCGACACTAAAACTATTTCTCACTTAAAGAATTTAAGGTCTGAGATGGATAGAACCAATACAGAAAGTATAGAAAAAGATACAAATCCAGCTTTTAATGACACTTCTAGGTTTGGGGGAGGGCATGGATGTAAAAGGGAGTGAACGGGTCCGTAGGAGGAAGCAAAATGGAAAATGGTTTAATTTATCTTGAAAATTACTACTATTTATTTGTCCAGGCTCCATGAGAATTTGTGCCAAGCATTTTCATTCATTTCACAGCGCCTAACACACCACTGACTGTGTCATAAATATTAAATAAATACCCATTGGTTGGAGAAAACTCTACATGGCAATTCTGTGTACAGGCAAGAAACAGAAGCTTACGGCAGTCACCCAAACCAGAAGGCAATGCAAGGTTTGGTTCTCAGTGTCAACATGTTCAAGTTACACAATTAGGGGAACAAACGAGATAAAATCTGCCACATTCACAGCCATAGTCCAACACGCTGTTCCTCTTTGAGGGCTAAAAGTTTTATTTGCAAAAGAGAAGCTATAATTAGGTGCAAATATTTTAAATGAAATGCACACAATATAATTGTACAGGCCAGTTGTGGTATTGCTCTCTAGTTCTCTAATTCAAGATTGCTAAGCTTGCTTACATTTGTAACAGAAACATGCCACCTGGAATCTTAAGAACAGGAGCACCTATTTCCCAGACTCAAACTAGCACTGAACTTTCAGGGAAACCATAGGCTTTGAAATGAACCCTTCTAAATACTACACAAAGCTCATAACACAGACTGCTATTAGCTTATAGCCAAATTAGGTTACTGCTATATACTCATCGTAGGCAATCTATAGAAAATAAAGAGATCATGCTTGTTCTACAGCTCTATGAGTGTCAAAATTAGAGCTGACATAATGAGAATTTGGGATTAGGTGATTATAATTTGGCCCTAAGATCTCACTGACTTATACATCTTAAATTGAACTAAAATCTCTAAGGACCTTGTTTTCATTTGGGGCGGGGGGGGTGGGTGGGTGGGGTGGTGGTGGTGGAAATCACACATTTAAAAATAGTACTTAAGGGAGGGTCTATTAAAATCACAATGGATCATAGCTGTCAACTTCAAATAGTACCTTTCTCCTAAAAAGCTTAAGCACACACTGGTGCAAAACCACAAATGCAGATGTTACCAAAGGAGCTAGAAGGAAAAACTAATTTTATTTATAACACTTTGCATATAAACTTTTCCTTCTGCAGACTTGTGTAGAGTCAAAAATAAAGGATGCTAATATGCACATTATGCAGCATATACAAGAGAGAAAAACACTTTATTTGAGTGAAAATTATTTACTCAAAATCTGGGAAGATTCACATCCACTATAGTCCAAATTTAACCTCAAGTGACAGAAAATACTATATGAAAATGGAAAAAAATTAAATAGTATTTAATCAACAGCTGATTACCTTTAAAACTTTGGGCTTCTTTTCCCTCTGGGGCCTCTTGTTTTCTTTTATAACCTAAAAAAAAAAAAAAAAATCAAAATGGAAAATGAGCCTCCATTAAAAAAAAAAAAAAAAAAAAAGCTCCATCCCCACCTCCCCAAAATATTTTTGGCTATTTCTCTGTAAACCTACTTATACCATTTTAAAGCATCAACATGTTTCTAGGCAGAGCCTAAAGAGCTTATGTAAAATGTATACTTTAAAAGTCACTGAAAAAAAAAACCTTGCATAAGATGAAGTAGGGAAATACCCTGCTTTCCCTTAAAGTCTGTCTTAATTAGCCTCTGCATTCTTCACGGCGAAGCCCACGAGGTAGCCATCTTGCTTCTGCAGAGGAAGCCTCGGTAGTGGAACAGTTCTGCAAACTGCTCTCGGTGTTATTATCATGGTGTTTGAAGGCAGCCCTGCCCTGCCAGCACTGTAGACGTGCTGGGCATGCCTTTTGCAAAAACAGCCCCACACGGTGCAGCCAATGGCAATGCAGAGCTTAGCAACTCCAAAGTGATCTTCTCAGCCTAGCCCTTCCTAGACAAAGGGTCTCCTGTGCGGCTGGCTCTCACCACAGGACACAGGCAGCCCCAAGCTGTGACATGGAGTTCTCCGCAGAGGATCTGGTAGAGGCGAAATCACAGGAGGCTTCGGCCAAAACAATGCTCGCAAATCCCCCAGGTGGCCAACGGCAGATCGATGGCCGATGGCGGAGTCTCCCTGTTAGTCACCTCTGGGTGGCAGCCAGGGCAGGTCCGCCTGGGGGAGGGGACACTGCTCTGCCTGCGCCGCACAGGAGCTGTCAAGGAGCCCAGGGTGGCACTGGGGCTCGCTGAAGCCACTCTGGAAGGTATTGTGCATTTTTACTTTATAAGGCAAGGCGAAATATTGGCGATATTTAAGGCAAGGAGGTTATGTGAGGACAGCAAGGCTCAGCTGTTGGGCTGCGTGTCTCATTCTTCCGAACCACACCTCTTTGCAGCAGGCTCTTTGCCCAGAAACACAGCGATTTGATTTCTGTCAATAAATGCCCAATGACAAAAGCGGACTAGAAAAACAGTAAAGCCACTTCGTAGCAAAAGGACAGGGCGAGGACAAGGAGAAGGGGTGGAGTTTTCAAAATACACTTGCCACCGAGTGGCGAGAGAGGAGGGATTTCTGCCTTGCTGGGGACATCTCCGATGGCTTTCATTTCGCAGGAGGCAGAACTCACCTCCCACCTCGGCGCCGCCTCCCTCTCCCAAGATCGCCACCTGAGCATCTCTGCCCCCCAGGCCACCAAGGCAGCTCCCCACGGGCAGCCCGTCCACGCCCCAGACCCCACACAGGTGGCGGGCACCGTGGCCGACACCTGCCGCCCCTCGGAAAGGCAGGACAGAGAAGAAGCGTGGTTCCCGTTAGTCCCCTGGCATCGCAAGAGCGGGCGCGAAGGACCAGGGCGGCCTCTGGGAGCTGCTTGTCTCAAGGTCACTGCCCCAGAGCATTGCAGAGGACTCCGGTCACAGTCCCACCACCTTGACAGCTGCAGGGATCTAGGCGACAGCCCAGCTCCACCTCGCACCGAGCTTTCGGCAGCACACTGGGAGGTTGGCAGCAGGGCTCGCCTGGCTGCTCAGCCAGGGATGGGTTTTCCACTTGCAGTTGGACCCCGGACAGATTCCCACAGGCAGAGTCCGGGAACAGAGAGAGAGCCGGAAGGCCCGAGTCTCCTCACCTCGCCTCCGGCCTCGGGTTTGCCACGAACGCATGTTTTCCTGGTGGGATCACGAAGCCCACGGGCCTGGCTTCCTGCTGTGGTTTTTCAGGTCACTTTTGGGGCTGAGGGTGGAACCCGGGGCTTCGTGTATGCTAAGCAGGGCACTTCACTACCATGCTACAGCCCGGCCCAGGTTCTCCCACAGCCAAATCTTTTAATAAATTCATGTTAAGAGAAAACAAACACAGTGGTGTTCTTAACTCTTCTTTAAACATGTGTCGCAAAAAACAACGGAATCCATCCTAAACACATCCACCAGCGCAAACACGCTAAGCACAGCTGACAGCCTCCCCTGCGGAAGGAGACCACAGAGAGAGGTCGGAAATCAGCTGCTCTGGGCAAGTGCTAACTCCCCACCAGCAATGGAGTCATGAGGTACTGAAAACAGGCACTAATAAAAAACTTACACCTGAAACCAAAAAAAGAAAAAAACGGGGCCAAATACAATAAGGTTTGGAAACAGATACAAAATGGCATATTCTGCATTTTTTGTTTTTGAGACAGGGTCTCACTGTGTATTCCAGGCTGGTCTTGAACTCACAGCAACTCTCCCGTCTCAGCCTCCTGTGTGCTGGGACTACACTCAGTTCAAAATATACCCAATTAGGGTCGGGGATTTACCCCAGTGGTTCTGCCACCTGCCTTGCAAGCATAAAGACCAGAGTTCAATCCCCGATACAAAAATAAATAAAATAAAAATGTACCCTTTAGCTTTCTATTTTAATTCCTTTTTTTTTATTGGTGGTAAAACTTATCAACCTAAAATTTACGATTTTAACTATTCCAGTGTACAATTCAAGTAAAAACATTCGCCACTGTCCCTTTTCATTTACTTCGGCCTCCCAAACATTAGCTATACCCATTGAATAGTACTTCCTCAGCCCTGCTGAGTTTTTGTTTATTTACCTTCGGTATTTATTTCCTATCTACTTCTCCTGCCTTAGCTTCCTACAGTGCTGGGGTTACAGGCAAGTGCCATGCTTAACTGTTTTGTTTGTTTGGTGGTGGGGCTTGAACCCGGGGCCTCTGCACTAGGTCACATCCCCAGACCATCTTCATTTTTAAATTTTGAGACAGGATCTCTAAGTCGCTGGGCTTGACCTTGCAGTCCTCCTACATCAGCCTCCCAGAATTTGAGGAGTTTAAGTGAGTGTCACTACACCCAGCTGCTGCTCCAACTCCTCCTTTTGTGGTGATCCTGGGAACTGAACCCAGGGCCAGAGTGCTGGAATCACAGGCACCCACTGCCAAGGCCTGCACGTGGCTACCTTTCTGTGCTCCTCCAAACTCCACTCTCAGCAGCTGCACCGTTTAAATTCCCATCAGAGCCGGGGATTTGGCTAAGTAGTACCACTGTCCGCCTTGGAAGCAGGGGCCCCC